GTGCGATTGCAGCAACAAGTATCAGTGCCAATTCAAAATGGGTACTGACAGGAACACCAATTGTCAACACTATCAAGGATTTCTACTCTATGCTCAGATTTTTGGGCATTGGTGGTGGTCTTGATGAGCTTGAGGTTTTCAACGCTGTGTTTACTCGTCCGTTGTAAGTGCTCACTCGATAAACTCAATATAGCAGTGTCACATGAATTACTTATGCTAACTTACGTTTAGGTCGTTGAGAAATCGTGAATCAGAACTGCTACTACAGACAACAATGAGAGCTTTGTGTTTGCGACGTAAGAAGGATATGAAGTTTGTCGATTTGAAATTGCCAGAATTGTCAGAGTTCGTCCACAAGGTCAAGTTCAGAAATGATGAATTGAAGATTTATGAATCTTTAGTGTGAGTACTAGCATCCAATCTCCCAATGCCTATACTAACAAAAATCAGTAAACAAGCTAAAGGTATGGCTGATCAATATCAAAAGCAGTCGGAGTCCCTCAAGAAGGACAAAATCCAGTACACCCACATTCTTGAGATTCTGCTTCGCATGCGTCAAGTATGCAACCACTGGAAGCTTTGCGAGAACAGAGTCAACACCCTCATGGAAATCATTGAAAAAGACGACGTAGTTGAACTCAACGCCGAGACTCGTCTCGCCCTACAAATGCTCCTTCAACTCAACATTGACAACCATGAAGATTGTTCCATCTGTCTCGAAGAACTCCATGACCCTGTCATCACAACCTGCAAACACGTTTTTGGGAAGGAATGTATCGAGCGCACTATCGAACTACAACAAAAATGTCCAATGTGCCGTGCTCATCTCAAGAACAAAGAAGTTCTCGTTCACCCTGCCGTCGAAACAGCAGAAGATGAGGAAATCAATACAGATGAGCAATCTTCCAAAACCGAAGCTCTCATGCAAATCATCAAAGTTACACACAGTGACCCACTTTCCAAAGTCGTGATCTTCTCCCAATGGACTTCATTCCTCAACATCGTTCAAAAACAACTCGAGCAAGCTGGAATCAAATTTGCTCGTATTTATGGTTCAATGTCCGCTCCACAACGTGATAAGGGCATGCATTCCCTCGAAAGCGATCCTGAATGTCGAGTTCTCCTTGCTAGTTTGGCCGTTTGCTCCGTAGGTCTCAATCTAGTCGCAGCAGATACAGTCATCCTAGCTGATTCCTGGTGGGCTCCGGCAATCGAAGATCAGGCGGTAGATCGCGTGCATCGATTGGGACAAAAGCGTGAATGCAAGGTTTGGAGATTGGTAATGGAGGGAAGCATCGAGGAGAGAGTTTTGGAGATTCAGGCGGAGAAGCGAAAATTGGTCGGTAGAGCGTTTCAGGAGCAGGCGGGTAAGGGTAGAGGAAAGGGGAAAGAGACGAGGATGGGAGATATTTTGAGGTTGTTGCGTTGAGTACTGACGTAGGTGGGATTTCTATAATATTGGGGTGGATGATGGGTATATAATGGAGTTTGGATCTGCGTGGATGGTAAACTTGTATTTTGTGGAGTTGAGGGTGGTTGGGTGTGAATGAATTAGAATAGAGAGATGAATTCCTTTCGCCTCGCGGCTTCAAGATGAATTTATGAACCTGTACGGTTTGTACAGGATATCTACATAGATGAAATAATGATCTGTAAAATATCACATTTCCCCATATAGATCTAGTGAGATAATGTTCTTGGATTACAAGTTTATAGGCAATTACTTGTCGAGTGAGCATTGTAAAAACATCGATTGTCTAGAAAAGAATGTTAAAAGGAGATAGAGTAGAACTATACACTATCTTTATTTATACAGAATATTACTCTAAAGACACGAAGCATAATTGTAAAAAGGAAGACCACAAGAGCTACAAGGTAGGCCAACTCATTAATACCCAAGCACACCAGAGCCAAGCGACGCGTCGATACAATGGAACATGAGAATGAGAGTTCCGAAGTTCACCGGGAGTTCTGCTAATCAGTTCCCGGTGAACTCTGATCGAAATCTATATATATGCTAGACTTTGTCGCCGCCCGGTGAGCTTTCCTTCCTCGAAATCATATATGTTGACTTTGTGATTGTGTCTGAGCTGAAGTTCTGACATTCGGTCGATAGTCTCTTGATACATAGCAATCACATAAACGATTTCCCGTATCCCACCTAGTTCTTCACTAGATTTGTTGAGTGTAATGGGGTATAGAATGAGAACCAGCGAGTAAATCTAATGATCGTACCACACACAACCCCATATTAATTCGTATCCAACCCAAGATTCAACGCCAAACTACATTCTACCACCCATATAGTATCGAGCTATATATGGTACAAACACATCTATACAAGTAGATAAAGTACTTCCCAATCAATGGATTAACAAATCCTCTTCCTCATCACTCTTCCCTTCATCATCCAATCCCAAATCCAAAACATCATCATCTCTTTTCGAATGTTCGTCATCAGAACCCTCCACAATGCCTCCACCCAATTCTAATTCTTCCCCTAATAGACCTTCCCTTTCTTCTCCTTCGCTTCCGCTTCTCCTTCTACTTTCTCCATTTTCCACATCATTTCCACTATTTCCCTTCTCTTCTTCTTCTCTTCTCCCGATAATCACGTTCCCGGCAACTAGTAACGCTGCGCCTAAAAACCATAATGGCGGTAAACTTTCCGAGAATATTATAAACCCAAGAACGGCCGTGATCATGAAATTGGACGATGTGTTTATGATCGAAACTTGAACGGTTGAGGTACCGCGAGCGAGGGCTTTAGTAAAGAGCGTCCACATTATACCATTGAAGACCAAGTTGAGGAGGAAAAATATCTATTGCGGTTATAGGTTAGCAATGTATACAGTCTCAAAATCTTGTGGCTGTGTTGGTGTTCCGTTTCTCATGAAGGGTAACGTTCAGAAACAATGTTGCCCTTTGAATAAGAATGCAAACTCACTCCTCGCACACCATATTCAACAACCTTTTCACCCTCTCCTAATCCAAGAAATCCTGCAACATGCTCCGCGAATGAAGTCGTTAATTGTGTTGTCGTTCTGGGTTCAGTAAAGTGTCAGCGCATTGAATTCTAGTAATGACATGACATATCCGATCATTCCGTATAGCTTTGAAAAGAAACCAATCCGGTACATCGGCGCGCACTCAATCTCTTTCCTTCTATACTTTCCTTCTATTGAATCACCAAGTCTGCGCAACCAATCTGAAGGCATAAAAGAGAAATCCAAAGACAACCTACAATTTCGCAAAAACCCCATTGAAAGCCGCACAAGCACCACTAGCCACGGCCAATAAAATCCACTGCGATTTCCGACTAATATTCTCCATTGTATTTTCTTGCTCTTCTTCGTCCTCGTCTTCTCTTAACTCCAATTCTGGTTCAATCCCTTCACGATGTGAAGAAGACGTTGCTTCCGAAATCGTAGTTGCATGGTACGACCCGTCGTCATTCAGAATCCTATTCTTAGTCTGAAGCTTATATCTAATCCCTGTTGCTGTTGTGCCTAAGAGGGGTTTCCGTGCATCATCCACCCCAACTCCACCAAATGCATCTGCTCCACCATCAGCCTCGGGCGTGAGAGCGGACATGGTAGAACCGCTCGTGAGTGCTGTGGTTGTACCGGCGTTGACTTCTACTGATCCTGAGGACGCGTGATTGTCGGATGAGTAGGTGGAGGTGGAGGTGGAGGTGGAGAGGGTAGAGGATTGCGTTGTGCGTTTGGCAGGGCGGAGCATGGTGAAGAAGAGCCTGTAGTGTTGGGCGTTGTTAGGGGAGGTTAGAGGTGAGTATCCCCTTGTTGGTGGTGTGGTTTGGGGTGATGTGGTAAGTTACGGTGCCCGGAAATGAGCCTGGCTCGCCTGGAGACTGCGCTGGTGCTGATTACAAGGGGCTTCGGGAAATCATATAAGGTTATATCATGGAAGGATTTCACTGGCAATTATCTGTTTTGATAATTGTCGTCAAAACAATTGTGATGGTCAGTTAGTAGGTCATCTGCATTTCATCGGAATTATTTCTCTCTCTCGAACTAGTGAGTCGAGGAGCTTGCACTTTCCCTTTTCACATAATCAAAGTGCCTCCTCCCAGCTTCTCCAATTCCACGGTACAACCTATTCTCCATTCACGCATCGAGAGCCAGTGCTGCTCGGATACACAGGCCCATCTTCCAGAACCGTATCCTTCTCCATTCCACCCACACATGTGAGACCACCGTGGTCAAGTTACTGAAATTGCAGTGAAGCACGTTCAAGGAATTGGCATTACAATGAGGAACATAGAAGCCGGGTGCGGATAAGTGCCTATGATAGAGCAGGTCTAAGGTATTGCAGTTGATGATCTAGTGACTGCCACGAGAAGCTCTTTAGGTTCTTCGGATGGTCCAAGGGATCAGCAGAAAGGCGAGGAGACGAGCCATTGCCTTATGATGGTGTCTCTGTAATTGAGATCGAGAGGAACCCCATATTCCGAGTCCATTGAATACATACTATCATTATCTCGTTCAATGAATTCCGATCAGAAACATGATTGATAGAAGTGACTTAGCTGTCAGTGGTACGATTCTGGTCTCTCCACTTGTGTTGAGGCTGAGGTCGAAGCATCAGCTAGCTCTTCTGTGTGAGCAATCCTCATGATATCAAAGAGATTCCTTTTTTTATCTTGAAGATCGACGGCTTCATTTGACTCTGAAAAAAGCAGGTTATAATTCTCCTCAAAACATAGAATTCGAGAATTTAAAATCTACAATCTTTGGAGTCATAATACTGAAAAGGGTATGACATATGACATTTCTATGCAAGTGGCTCACAGGTCCACGATTTCGATTACACAAATCATCATACTGTTTTTGTAATCAGAAGGTAAAATCATTATAGTATCATTCATCTAACATGTAATTTGTTATCTACTTCAAGCCTTGAAGTAGAAATATGATAACCGAAAGACCAGAAAACAAAAGAACACCCTCGATTCAGATATCCGCCGGGGGCAACATTACTCACAACCAACCTCCATATTGCTGATCATTCTGCCGTTCTTTCCAGTACTCCGGGGTCTTTATTTCTTCCCTCTCCTCGTTGATTGTTGGACTCTCCGATGTTTGTCTTCCTGCCGACTGCTTTGCCACTGCCTGTCTTTCTGCTATCTCCTTTTTGCGAGTTTCCCTAGGAACGAGGGGTTTCAATTTCGTCTTGTACTTCGTTGTCTCGTATAGTCCATCTACCCGTGTACGTCCTCCATTACGCGAAGAGCTACCCGCTGACGTTGGTGCCGGGGAGCTTGATCCCGAAACCGAGCGGTTACTTCTGCGTGAGACTTCTCGGTCACGGGAACTGCTTGAGTCACGCTTTGTGTCTTGAGCTGTCGACGAAGGACGGGATACACGGTGGTCTGTTTGCGGAACAGGGCTGGAATGAGTTGCTGCTGCAACGAAGTATTCAGCTGCGGAGTTGCCAGTAGAAGAAGCAGAAGCGCTAGGTAAGTGTGCGCTGGAGCGTTGCAAGTTTAAAGAAGGGCAGGGAAAATTCTGGTTGTACTGTGGAGCTGAAACATTGCTAGTAGAAGTAGAAACAGAGGTAGAATATGGCGCATGGGTGGGTGGGTATGCGCTGGAGGATTGTAGGTTCATGGATGGATAGGGAAAATTCTGGCTGTAGCGAGCAGCTGGAGCATTAACGGTGGTGGAAGAGGAAGGGTATGTATAGGTCAGGGGCGGATTTGAACTGCGGGACGGCTGATCTGCTACGTACGGGTAGTGATAATTCTTGTTGACCTGGAGACCTTGAGACGTGGTTGTTGTTTGTTGTGAACGAGTGCAAATCTGTAAGAAGCTTCAAGTAATCCTGTAAATAGTTCAAGTAGGTAATTTCTATATGCTTCAACTTTCTTTCCCTCTCCCTAGGGAAATCTCGAAGCTTAAGAGTACAAATTTCTCACTCAAATGCTGTTCGTTAGAATCATAATGTGGAAAGGGGTATGAATCAAACGTTCATTTTGGATGACTTGGGGTTTCTCTGTTAGGAATCATTGAATAGACTCATATAATTTAATGCTAGAGTGAGTTATCATGACATCTCTATGACTAGGATTTCATTCTCACGATGAAGCTATGAATGATTCTTTCTAGTATACGAAGAGGTACAAAGGGCGGATCAAGAATTTGCTGTATACTAAGGAACAGACTTAAGCTTGACATACTTGAAAAGATCGCGGGGATTCATTCATGGACTACAGGATCTGACCGGCGAAGGAAAGAGGAATCTTGCGCGTTGAATAACGTTCATTTCCTTTCTATATAAATAGATACTGGTGGAGAAGATGTTTGAGTAGAAAGTACAATAGTCTAGATAGGCGTGATATCGTTAGTTGTAAATTAGGCATGGACCAGATAATTGTATTGGCAATCAAGTTCCAAGTGAAAGATGCACAGTTGATCGGAATGGATGTTATTACTCATTAGATTTCTAGCTTCATATAGCTTCCAAATTCCATAGATGGCGTCTTTGAGAGGACTGAATCCTGTCTATACTATCTAGTATCTCTCCATAAAATTTACCGAGTAGGGTACCTTAAGCATTTCTCTTCGGGGACTCTTTCTAAAGCTCCTTAGGAAAATCCCAATTTGACCTGCTGATGATGAATACAAGTAACTCGTTCCTCGCATGCGTAGCTACAGGTCCATTCCTCCTAAGAATATTAGAGCAGCCACGGACCGAAACCCCTCGATCGCCACTTTCAGACTTTCTCTTTCCCTATGCAAGTTTTAAAAACTCCAGTCTCAATCGCCAAAGCTATCGGATCAATGACAACATCACTGCCCTCGCTTCTGTATAATATGCTCCTAGTAAGTTGCCGAATCAGATAGAGTGCGCGAGCTCAAAAGGTAGCAATCGAGTTATTGGAATTGAACGCTCGTTCTCTTAGAGACTGTAAATCGACTGGGCTGGTATGCAATTTCTCGGATGACGTTCTTCTGTCCCAGCTTTCCATTTCACTCGCCCTGTGAAAGAGAAGGGAGGAAGATATGAGAATTATCGGATTCGTACAGATGGTGACAGTAGATATACATGTATATGAGCGATGAGTATTTGAAAATGAAAATGGTCCACTATGGATTCTCGAGATCCCATCTTTCCATCGATCTTCAAGACGGGCTTTGATCAATCTTTGGATTGTGCCTGATTCTGGAAGTCTTTCGCATTGCTTGCGGAGATTAGAGATGCTGGTGAAAGTCTTGTGTTCATAAACAATGCTCGTTAAAGTTACGTCGACAACTTGGCAGCTCGCATAACAATGCACGCGATTTTCAGCTATCAGAAGCTTAGTCTCTCGCGATCAACGTCGACGGCTCTCAAGTATCTCTTGTCTGTAAAGACGAAAAAGACATTTTCCAGCGCAGGCTAACCCTAACTTCAGTCCACTTGTTACTTATAGTCTTTCTCAAACTCAACGAAGTTCTGTGAGATTCCTGTCCCTGTCTCTGTGTCTGTGCCTCTTCCAAGCGCATAGTGACATCCCGCGGCATACATTCCACCTCTTCTTCGTCAAATTCGCCCGGTAATACAGATGGAACAGTCTCAAATCTATCCTCATCAAACAATCCCAAGGCAGAAACAGCCGAACTGTTCTCCTTACGGCCTTGTGTCATTAGACCAATAACCGTGAGCCGAACTACAACGTCGTCGAGGTCCTGTTGGATATCTCTTCCCTCATCACCCGTTTCCACCATTGCCTCCCAGTAATACTCGCTGTAATCTCCTTCGGGTATACCGTAGTTTTCTTCGAATTCTTCACCCTCGTTTTGTGATTCATCCTGAGACGGTTCACTCTCAGTTGCAGTGAAAAACAGGTCATCATTAAACACTTCATGCTCGGGTACATCATTCCAAATCTCTTTCTCCTCAAAGAATGTAATCTCAGACTCATCCAACCACTCCAATACATGAGACTGGTTCTTAGTCAAAGGCTCTTCCCTGTCAAAAGGTCGATGTTCAAACTCAAGCATTGCACCCCTATGCATATCATTTGGCACCTGAGTCACAGAGCCCTCCTCACAAGCTATCAAAGAATCCGTAGTGAACACAGGGGAGAGTCGAGCATTGTCGCGAGGAATGATTAAAGGTGGCGAAGCCCCCAAGTAAGACCTGGTAACCGGAGGGGAGGATCCAGATCTTCTTTTTTGTGTCACTACCTTTTTGGCAGCTACAAAGAACCTCTTAATCTTTGGTCCCATGGTTTCAATATTTGAAACTCGAGGAGGAAGGGAGATCTGGATGCAAGGAAGATGTTTTTCAGTTGAAAGTTCTTTTCGAACATGTTGAGAGGTGTGTTGGTTGAGCTACCCATAGAGTCACTAGACAAGGTAAATGACGAATACCGTTATGTAGCGCAAAGTATATATATAAGAGCTATAGTATGGGGTAACCCATCATGTGTATTGAAACTTCAGCCATTGACAAATAATATCAATCGTTTGTTTTTAGTCGAGAATATCAGGCTTTCGTATTGTTACCGGTCAGATCAGATTTGATCTTCATCCCCAGTTGGCGTTTCAATAGCAACCTTATTTAGCCAAGTATCTTGGTCTGGAATTTTTGTGAGAATACTTGAATGATGGTCTCGAAGTTCGGAATATAGGACCAATTGAAAAGAAAACACATATAGCTAAGCCCCATAGATCATCATGAGCTGAGTAGTTTGTCTTTGTGTCGAGAGTTTGGCGCAAGTATTTTCATTGGAATCGCTTCGATATTGAGAGCGATTGGTCAGTAACTCCAAGAAACATTGGGATGGTCAAATCATGATGGGTAAACTGGAAGATGCTTCAAGTGGAAATATAACGCTTCAAAACATTCGATGTCGGAACTAGTCTCTATACTTGAATGAAGAAACTGGGCATTAGGTGACAGTAAAGTGGGAAGAGAAGATCATGATCACCAAAAGATCCATCCATAATCGTCTTCTCGGTATTCACTTGGTATCTACCTAGTATAGTCGACTTTACCCATTATAAATACACCGATGTATAAACGGTAGCATTGACAAAGGAGCCCTTGGTGATTGAAGGATTATCTATTTTCTTCCCCTGGAGTTTCTTTAATTGTTCAAAGCATTCGAACACTTAAAAGCTCTGTTAGAACTGCTTTGTCTCCCTAATTTATAAGTCATGATCACATTTACTAGAGCATAGTATAGCTCTTTCGAGAAAGACTAGTAAACAGAATCATTACGGTTCTGCTACTAAATTAATGACGCATCGCATTGCGATGTCTAAAATTTAGATACCATGCCGCCACATACGAACAAGATAGGCATGCTTTCCTCATTCTCCGGCAAAGCGCCATGAAACGCCACGGAAACCAATTAACGCCCGAGATGTCCTTTCTCTAAGTCATTGAAGAGCCCAATCTGTAAATGCGATTCTTAATCATCCGAAAATCATTCCGTATCTCCCAAGCTAGCCACCACTACTTTCCCAGTATGTCAAATTCCCGTAAATATTCCTCCCCAATATCTACTGAGGATCACCGGGCTTCTTGCTGTTGCAGCTCACGATCTTGACTTTGTCCGCCGTGACTGACTGACTGGAGTTCTCCATCTTGAAAGTAACATCCTTAATCAAGAAAGTCCAAACCTCGTCACAGAAACGATACGTATCCAGATGGCCCTTCAGTATCCAGTTAGCTAAAATTCTGATCCATTGTCGCCACTCGTGTCGAAAAGTGTTGTGCCTCGTGAGAACCCTGCGCGCATATACCTTGAAAGTCAATCTCGCCTTGACTTTGTCTGCCAAAGCCTCCGTGATACTCCTATCAAAGTTTGCCAATATCTTCATTGCGAGCTGAGGCTCGATACGTCTCTCGCTGATCAAATCGTCAAGGGTATCTGTGAGACACATGCCGATACTTAATGCTTTGTCAGTAAATGTAGAAATATTTGTGTACTTGTGTAGCAAAATAAGGCACAGTACCTGCTACGGCGGTAGAGCTCGTAGAAAGACTGTGGAGCCGCCATCTTGTATGATTGTAATTTGAGATTTGCGGTCGAAGGGGAGAAGCTGATGTTGTTGATGGTTGTTGTTTATATACGAAGGGAAGGCTGAAGTAAGCGGCTGTGTTGCGCAGCGTTTGGCGCTAGCTACGGTTGGCGATTTAGATTACTCTATCGGTTGGAGCTCGATGAGGTACAGACCAGACCACCCAAACCATCCATAGCTTTGTCGACAACAAATAAAACACTCAATTGCTTTCACTTTGTTGACGCAGATTATCTGGACAAGATGAGCCTTACATATGGAATTGGTGGTGCTACCACAGCGTTGGCAGTGGTTGGGGCTTGTAAGTTTTTGATGTCCTGTTTGGTTTGATTCAAAGTTAACAGGTGCTGCTAGATATGCTCTTTACTGGCGATGGAGAAGCTTTCAATGTACGAATTCCGAAGCGCGATCTGGAAAAGAGTGAATCTAATAAGAGTGATAGTTCGGACAATTCCTCGAAGAGATATCGCCATACGCGTGGGCAGACATGGGTATTGGCATGTGTATAGGATTGTCAGTTGTTGGGGCAGCATGGTACACAACAACTTCGCCCCTCTCTCTCGATCATCAGCTCACAAACTATGTAGGGGAATTCTGATTACCGGCTCTTCGATTCTCGGTGGTGGTGTTAAAGCTCCTCGCATTCGAACCAAGAATCTTATCTCCATTATTTTTTGCGAAGTAGTCGCCATTTACGGCGTCATCATGTCCATCGTCTTTTCATCCAAGCTCGGTCTCATGGAGAGCGAAAACCTTTATTCTGCTAGCAACTACTACACTGGATACGCCCTATTTTGGTCTGGCATAACAGTGGGAATGTGCAACTTGATATGCGGTGTTTCGGTCGGCATCAATGGTAGTGGTGCTGCTCTTGCAGATGCTGCTGACCCAAGCTTGTAAGTGTTAAAATGTTGATATAAACTGCTTCAAGATGCTAATCCGTGACAGGTTCGTTAAGATTTTGGTCATCGAGATCTTCAGTTCCGTACTAGGACTTTTTGGTCTCATTATCGGCTTGTTGGTTTCATCAAAGGCACCGGACTTCGAGTAGAGGATAAGCTGTGGGCGTGAAGGGTAGTTGCAGTTCTGGTGTGGAAAGATACGTTAGATAAATGACTGTTTTGTACCGTGTATATCATCCAAGTGGAAGCCGACACATGGCGTTCAGGGAGGAATCGATTTCAAGCACTTTTGGGTTTTTAGGCAAGGTTGCATTAATATTACTATAGTCAAATGATGGTATTGCTAGATTGTATTATTAAAGTGCCATTGTAGTAAATGGAACGCTCGTGCTCTCGAACATAATAAAGTGCCAAAGTGCAACATTTCATGACTATTCCACTGCAGCTCATACGCCTCAGACGCCCCAATGGGTGTTATTCAATTAGCGACACGCCATGCTTTACTGCTCTATCATCATCTTTGACGTCACAGGCTTTGTGTCTCCCTTGCTCCATTATGCCTCATACGACTCAATTTCCTCCACGGCCACAATCGGACCCTTTCCAATATCCGTGGCCTGTTGTGATTGTTCCTGTAGTTGTTGCATTTGTTGCATCATCTGCTGTTGCCACATCTGTTGTTGCCGAACCTGGCATTGTCGAAGAATCTGCTGTTTGACCATTTGTTGCTGGACTAATTGCTGCAGTATCACCTGTTGCATCATATTTTGTTGTGTATGTTCTTGCATCTGCTGCTGCCGAGATTGTTGTTGATTGAGATCCTCTAAGCTTCGTCCCAAAGGATTGATGTGAGCATGAGACACCCCGTAGCCAGGCTGCAAACCACTGTTCACACCCTGTCGATACGTACCAAATGGCTGCATGCCATCGGCTGCTTGGGATCTTTCACCAAGTTCTCGTCGAATCTCTCCCATCTTGGAGTTTACTCGTACTCCACGAGCTTCAAAGTGCTGCTCCATCTTTCGCCCGTATTGATAGAACATTGCAAGATCCATGCCTCTCTCCTTGAAGTTCTCACTATAAGATTACAAATCAGCCTTGATATATTGATATGTAGCACTCAGTTAAAGGGAGCGGAAGTTTCAAGTGCATAAGCACAGTTAAAATTAGAGAAACGTCGCACTTACCGCCAAATGTGTCGCAATGGCATGCCATCCTTCAACTTATCCACGACATACTGCTCATCTTGAGGTGTCATTCCACAGTGATTCCAGAAGTAGTGGCTGGGTACACCCTGTACCACTAGTCCTTCACAATAGCCACTGCTACTCCATTGTTGAGTAACACCATCCACACCTTGATTCAGTTCATACATTTGCATCTTTGATGGAAAGTATAGTTCTCGTAATTCTTTCATGGAACCTTTCTCTGAAGCCCCCTCGGGGATGTCTTTATCTTGAATCGAGATCAAAGTTGCGAAGTCCTGGTCTCTAACGGAGATCAAGTCTGCAACGGTGTTGTGGATATACGGTGTGAAGATGTAAGGATGGTGTAATGAAGCTTTGAGTCTACGCTCTAACAAGTTTTCTCCAGTGGGTGGTGTCGCTTCATCTACAACCTTGTGTGGTTAGCACTTTTCATCGGAAACATTGGAAAGCAGGGCATATCCGGATATTGAGCCATAGGGGGTTAATCAGAAGCTGAAAGCACTCAAACGGAGTGGGGGTCATAATGATAAATTGTACTCACGTGGGAGAGACGAGATTTTGGCTATCTCCATGTCAAGAAAGTCTTTGGAGACATATTCATTTGGAGTAGAGGAGAACTGGATTGAGTGAGGGGGAGGAGGGTATGTAATCGGTTCGGCTAACTTGACTGCGAAGATTGGGCCGGTGAGGTCTCCAATTCCTTCGAGAAACTCATAGTCTTCATAGGTGCGAAAAGGAACGGCTTTTGGCATCTGCAAACAATTAGTAATGTGATGGCACTCGTGGTGCTTTATAGACTTCAAGTAGATCGTTATAACAGCTGCCAGTTTTCCGATGTATCATCTTGACCAAGACAATAAAACAACATAATATAAACCAAACATACATGATATTCTTCTTCGCACATTTTGCAATATCCAGATTGTCCGATCCATTTACAAGCACCAAAATCCAAGCCATCCAAGATTCCAACCCTCACAAAAAATGCTCTGAAATTTTGTTCAGGACATGGATTAAGGCGAGCTGTCATACCAGCTTTCCAGAAAACTGTATTGCAGTATTCTGTGATTTCGATAGATTTATGACCACATTTCTGCCATTGGTAATATTCGTATTGACACATCATGAAGCATCTGTATTGAAATGGAAGTAATATTGTTATCGTTGTGGACAGTCAAAACACCAAAGGAAGCTTGAAAAAAGTAGACATTTGGGAAGGAAGAAAAAGACCATGTTAAGGATGTTCTAGAAATTTTGATGCCAGGAATCAGAGGTGGAAAGAGTTCCTTCCAATTAAAGAATGAGAACTACATTTGATTCACTTTTAAATCTTATTTAGGTACCTTCACTCATTATGACATTAAGATGGATCCGTCCAACCATCAAAATCCATCTCAATTAAATCTTTCACCCTCTTGTAAAATCGATCAACCTTCATATTCACTTCTGACCCTACCCATCAGCAAGGCTTCTACCTTCGTATTTCTCGGTAAATCCTTCGATCCGATTGGCAAGCATAATAATGCATTTGCACTCTTTAAGCTTCCAACCCTTGAGCTGCGCTGCATACCAGTGCTACTTGCATATAAAAGGCCATCTCTCCCTATGGAGACAATCGCTCTATGATACTCAACTCTTTGAGGGTCCAGACGAATATCATGTGATAGAGTTACTGGAACCTTGGGCAATCCTACAGGAGATATTCCAGAAGCATGATGTAGAGAAGGTAGAACGAATAGATGGAGAGTGACTATAGCTGAGACCGGATTACCAGGTAGAGAAAATATGACCTTGGAAACTCTTTCCCCATCATTATTCTTCACTGGTACCGTCGCAAAGGTTGTAGGTTTTCCTGGTTTCATTGATACACGACCGAAATGAATTGTTCCCCCTAATGATCTCTCAATGGTAGGCTTCAGAAGATCAAGTTCGCCCATCGATACACCACCAGTGGTGATAACAACGTCGACTTGCCGAAGTCCATCCCGAAGTGTTTGTTCTAGATCTCCAGGTTTATCGCGAGCAATACCAAGATCTACAACTTCGAATCCTAGACCTCGCACGGCAGCCATGATTGTTGGCCTATTACAATCACGAACTTCTCCCATTCTGAGAGAGCCAGGTCTATTATGTTCGACAATTTCGTCTCCTGTGGAGAGCACACCGACTACTGGTTTCTTGTAAACAGTTACTTCTGCTCTGCCGACAGACGTGAGTAGACCGAGCTCGCCACCATTGGCAGATATTTCTTCCCCTTTGCGCATTATGATAGACCCAGCTTCAATGTCACTGCCGACTTCTCTAACATTTTCACCAGGTTTTACTCCATCAGCTAATATCTCGACCTCTTTCTCCTCCCTGCCATCTTCGGTCATCGTTTTCAGCACAGTATCTTCTACCATAATCACAGAAGTAGCACCAGGCGGAAGCGGTGCTCCAGTTGTAATGCGCGCGATCTGACCTTCTAGCAGAAGAGGATGCTCACCGGCAGTAGCATGAGATATCGATGCTACAGGAAATACGCCTTTGTTCGATTTACCTTCTGTAGCAATGACCGCATATCCGTCAACAATACTGGCGCGATATGCCGGCACAGCTTCAGTTGCCGTAACATCCCCCGCTAGAACAAATCCTACAATGTCTCCATTTACATTAGCTTTTACGGCATGCGGAGCAGGTGTATATTTTTCTATTAGATTCAAAGCTTCATCGACAGATAACATGGGGTATGGCGATGAACGACTTCGTCGCGTTGGACCGAGAGCAGGATCATTCGAACGAGGATTTTCATCTGGCGCAGTATGTCTAACAGGCATTGCATGCCCATGGCTATGACCGTGGCTATGAATGTGGCCGTGGCCATGTGAGTGACTATGAGAGTGATCATGTTTATGTGAATGTACCGGCAGAGAAGCACCCTTAGAGCCAATACCAGCTTCCTTCTCGAGCTTCTTCACACCTCCCGCATGAAGCGACCGGGAATCTGCCCCTGCAGCCTGAAGGCAAGCATGCGGTAAAAGTTTCAATATTGATTGAAGGTTCTCTTTTGCTCCTTTGGGCGATCCAGGTAATGTGACGATGATTGTCTTGTTGCGAACACCCGCTACCGGCCTTGACATGAGAGCAACTAATATCAGTCAACTAACTGTTGGTACTCGTGATTTTTCCAAGCTTACAAGGAGTGACTGCCAATGAAGCAGCAAGCATTCCATGGACAAGTCCTGGAGCTTGCTTGTGTAGAAGGGGTGTAATTGCCTATGATAGTACATTTTAGCATGCGTATGATACTTTGGGAGACTGTATTACCTCAGGAGTATTATCTGAGACTGCAAAACCGGTCCCACCAGTAGTAATCACAACATTGATAGTATTTTCTTGATCTGTCCAGGACATCACACTTCTCTGAATATCTGTCACATTATCACTCACGATCTTCGTTTCCACGACTTCCCATTGGCCGTCTGCTTCCTCGAAAACACCTTTCAAAACAGGACCGGACGAGTCGGCTGATGCATCTTTGGCTGCAGTAGTCGACACAATAAGTACTGCTGCGTTCAGAGTCTGTTTATCCATTTTGAGATTCTGCTGTCGAACGATTTGAGGTTCTAGTCATCGCTCCTACCCCTCGGCAGATAGTGAACTTCCCCACTTACCGATCCCTAGGCCGACGTCACAAGAAATCGTGTAACTTATCCCGAACTTTTTTTTTATTCGGCGCGTTGTTCCAGACCAAAGAAATTGATATTAAATTAAGTCTCAACAGCCATGGTACGGATTAAGAATCGATATCTTCTGGTCAATATTCTCTACCCGGAACTGGAGAAAAATACTGGTAGCAAGGAAAAACTACTAGATGTAGTGGTGTTCAATCAACCGACCGTCGATGCACTGACTTCGCGCGCACTACTGAGAGGCATTCAACTGGAAGTTGCGAATCTGTTTGGAGATTATGGAAGTGGTGCAATTGCAGATAGTATTGCAGGTTTGTTACTTTTCTTCTGAGACGAACTTTGATTTAGAGGGGTAGATACTGATGCAATTGGAATGTAGTAAAATATCTTTCATCTGCGACATCGACATTTATTCTGCGGGTTTCGCGAGCGCATTATAGGATTGTTTGGGCAGCTTTATCGCTAATGAACAGCTTACCTATTAAGAACGGTAAAAATTGCGTATTCAGAGTTATGAGGGTTAGTGGAACGATTAGAAAGGCAGAGGAAGAAGCCATTAGAAGGGCGAGGGAGATGATATTAAAGGCCCGCAGAGACCTGGGCGAACAAAGTGAATCTACACTGGAAAAGATGTTTGGTACAAACAAGGGAGCTACAGCAGGATCTGCGAAAGATGTCATGATGGTGGATGCAGTGGATAGTGAGGACGATGAAGAATTAAGTGATGGAAATGGTTGAGGGTATCATTGATTTGTTCTAAGAACTTTTACGCCTGAATCGAATGGCGCCCGAGCCATCTCCTCGAGGGCATCATCGTCTTCTGCAGCTCTCGCATTCTCTTGCTCTTTCTGCATCTTGGATTGTTCCTCGAATTGCTTCATCTCCATCTCCCGATATGCTTCATCATACTCCTCCTTGCGATCAATCCAGCGCTCCTGAACATCCTTTATATCCATCGTTGTGGTACCCTCTCTCATAGCTACTTGCCACACGGTATCGTTCGCACCTTCCGCGCCACCAAAAGCATACCCTCCGGCACGATCTATGACTTGAAGTAGATGCATCATACTCCTCTTATCTTCTACAGCAAGAGTTTCGAATCCCACCAACCCGAAATCTTCAACAAGTTGAATGATCGCTTTATTCAGACCCTCAAACTTTGATCCCTTCATTAACGAAGATTCCTCCTGAAGGCTGGGAAGTAAGTGTGAAAGATCTTGGACTTCGGTATAGAAATCTAAGTTGAAAGGTAGTGGTGGATACGAAGCCAATTTGTCCATTTTCGTCAAAACATTCAGATGTGGTAAATCCATTTGGAGCATTGCTCGCAGCGAGAGGATCAGGTTGGAGATATATAATGAAGGCAAAGTCAAGCAATAGGAATCGGAAAGATGGAGAACTACAAGCTGCACAAATGTCAGCATACTGGTTTTTGAAAGTAGACTTCTAATAAAGAATTGAGATAACATACTCTATATCCTAATTTCTGTAACTTAAAAAATATGTTTCGTAAAGACGAATGATGTGTATACAGTTCGACCTGACCTGGACAATCAAACAGTACATAATCCTCGCCCAATTCTGCCAATCCTTCCTCCAACCACTCCATATTATTTTCTAGTTCTTCAAGTGCATAAAGTACGCCACCATTGGGACCTAATGAATCTTCCTCCATGATGTCTTCCAATTTTATGAAATTGCGCACGTCGATGGCGCAGGGGTAGCTTGTGTGATCATTGGCGGGGTCGAGGTTCACGATGGAACATTTTCTTCCTATGGCAGACATGAACTGCTGCATGCCATTACAATACGTAGATTTCCCAGCGCCGGGAGAACCGAGTACGAGTTGTGCGAAAGGCATATTGTGTATATTGTCGTAGTTTGAATTTGAGGCGATTCGTGAGTGGTAGGTATGAGAAGGAATCTGCTTCTTTTTCTTGTGGTGCTAGATGGCAATGATATCTCCTTCAGGTTCGTTTCCAAACACACACAATATCAGATATTCGCGCTCAAATATGTTTATAAATGTCGGATATGGTGGTGCGAAGGTCGCAGTTGTAGCTCACTAGCAATATTAACTCACCCTTAGAACTTTTCAAAAAGATTGTTGTACATCTGTCCGCACTCTCAGCTTTGAGAATTTGAGAGAAGTATTATTATTTTATACGCAAGTTGACAAGCTTGAAAGAACGGTTGCTGAGTATACCTAGAACCTAGAGAGGGGCACATTTGGCAAAAGTTGAAAGGCTTAATGCAAGGCTGACAAATAACTCAGCGGTGAGTGTGGCAGAATACCTACACTAAGCCTTCTACAGAAACGCGGCTTCGAGATCAATCTAAATATTTCACTGGAACCTGGTTGCACTTGAAATGAATTATCATTGACGAATCACTCTTTTGAAAAGCTTCTTATTACAGACTCAATATTCTTGCGCGCAAAGAATTCAACTCTGCCCTCAGTGTTATTTCTATCTTATTACACAATCATGGCGCCAGGTACGCAAGCTCTACATCACCCCAAGCTCAAGCAAGGATACTAACATAGCTCTTTAGCAGTACAATTCGAGCTCTCTGAGCCACCTACTGACGCAGTCTCTTCTCTACAATACTCGCCCTATACACCTATCAGATTACTTGTTTCGTCCTGGGATAAAAAGGTCTATCTATACAACACAGAAAGTGTTTCCGAAGGGGGGCAGTTAATGAGAACTTACGAACATCGGGCGCCGGTTCTGGATGTTTGTTTTGGGAAGGATGAGAGTGAGGCGTTTTCTGCTGGTATGGATTGGCAGGTGAAGAAGTGCGTTTAATCATTGGGATAATTGAGTCAGACTTGGGATGCTAATGTGCAATAGGATTGATTTGGAGAGCGGAGAACACACATTGTTGAGTACCCACGAGGCGCCAGTTAAGTCGGTGGTGTATAGTAAAGAGCATTGTAAATTTACCCCCCATCACCTAAGTCAATTGGTACAGGATACTAACAATGTCTCCCAGCTCTCCTCATATCCGCTTCATGGGACCAAACACTTCACATTCACAACCTTTCTGACCCCTCGCAATCCCCAATGACAATTCCTCTTCCTTCTAAACCGCATTCCCTCTCCCTCACAGCTACAAAACTCGTAGTCGCCATGTCCTCCAGACTTCTCTACATCTACTCCCTTCCTCTCTCTACCGACCCCTCGCAAGAGCCCTGGCAACAACGCGAATCCTCTCTCAAATTCATGACCCGCGCCGTAGCCTGTATGCCCAATGATGACGGCTATGCCTCTTCCTCAATCGAAGGCCGTGTCGCCGTCGAATGGTTCGATCCATCCACCGAATCCCAAGCCCGCAAATACGCTTTCAAATGCCATCGCCAGCCCGATGCTTCAGGCGATGGAACAGATATCGTATATCCAGTCAACGCCCTCGCATTCCACCCCACTCACGGTACATTCGCATCTGGAGGCGGTGATGGAGTCGTTGCACTATGGGATGCCGTTGCGAAAAGAAGAATTAGACAATATCAGAAATACCCCACGAGCGTAGCCGCTCTCTCATTTTCAAGTAATGGAAAATACCTAGCCGTGGGCGTATGTCCAGGATTCGAGAACGGACAGGAAGACTATAGTGGAGAAGGATTGACAAAGGTGTATATAAGGGAGCTAGGCGAGAACGAAGCGAAGGGAAAAGGTGCGAAATAATCTAGATTTAATGTCGTCTACTACTGGAAAGATACTGTACTCGCCAAATTGTTCATTTAGCAAGGCGTTCTGGTACAGAGAATGAATGAGAAGTTTCCTCGTAAAGGAGAGTTTGATGGAGAACTGCAATCCTTGAGAAATGCACGATAAAATTACCACTTTATCGTGTGATCTGCTTTGTACACCCCAACGAAATATCTCGCAAAACTTGAAGATTCTACCACTGCCGCACCAGTAAAGAAAGGCTGACCCTTCTAGCAACATGATTGAGAAAGTGAATTGAAAATCAGTAGATGTTAAGCGATTTACAAGCGGAGAACTAATCATGATATCACACACATTCTCACATTGCATAGCTGGTATCTCGTCTTGTATCTAGAAACACAAGATTACACGGGTATTGAGAGTTGGCCAGCTAGGCAATCAATCGAACACACCGAATGAGAAGCGGAGTTATGATGGTAATGATATTTAGATGCATAAAGCTATAACGAAAGAGATATAAAGCCCGAATATACATATATGAATAAAATACTGTGAAGATCAGCTCCTCGAATATTGCTGCGAAATGCTCCTCTCTCTCTTCTGTCACTGCCAATAGCTCAATCTCCATACAAACCTCGAATGGTCAATGTTTATGCTCATAACACTACGCTGCTCTCACCTAAACAGCGAATAATTATATGTTGAATCTCAAGGAATATCTCTTCGCCCTCCGTAAACTTTATTTTGGCTTAGCGAATCAAGCGTAGCTAAATCTTCAAGATTGGCTTTTTGAATGGCGGTTTAAATGGTAAAGTTTTTGTTCTCTTTCTAGCAGAGCCTGGCAAAGTCCCCAAAGCAGAACTGGCCTGTCGTGTAAGACGACTTAAACTTTTTTCTGGCCTAGGCGTGGGACGGTACGACTGTTGTGAGAACTTGGGCGACAGGCTCGGTGCAGATGCCTTGCTCTCCGTAGTCTCGGTGTTTTGCTGGTCATGAGTGGGAATCACAATGCCCTTGAAGTGATCGAGATGAAAGCGACCTGGAGTCGATTTGCTTCTAGACACAGGTGTGTTATGTTCTTTTGGTTCCTGAAAAGCTCGGCAAAAGTAGGTTACCTCCGGGATCTCATCTGGAACGAACGAAAGTTGGGAAGAGTGAAGCGAGCTCTCGTCGTTGGTAAGAAGCAACACGTCCGGTATGGATTCGTCGAACTCGTAAGGTGTATTGGATACTTGCGATTCGCCAAGTTCGGGAGAGATGTCGCGAACTGCAATCAATCGTATTTCTGGTAGCTTAGGTACCGCAATTTGAGTCTCTGGAATGTCAGGGCTAGATGGCGTAGGGGGTCTACCCGTCGTAAGGGTTAGCGGTCTACCACGGAATACTGTCCGTCTACGTATCTGCAAACCAGTCGATCTCCTTTTGGCGATTTTTGAAATCGGGCTTGGACTATCACAGATATCCTCTTGTGTCTCGTTCATGACGTCGCTTGACTTTGGCCTTCGAGGCCGCCAAACACCGGCTTCTGGTGTTTTTAATACTTGTGTGCTATTCTGCCAACCCGTGGCAATTGATAGCTGTGACGCCTGGCTGTTGTCGTTGCCTCCTGTTCTTGTCGTTTGTGATTTTTGCACTATCAATTCGTCAATCAGGAATATTTTCTTGTGCTGATTCAACCTTGTTGAGACAAACACCCCAGTCATTTCTTCTTCTCCACATACTGGCTTGTTCAAAACGGCATCTTCTTCAGAAGTATAGAAATCACCTCTATCGTCATCCTTGCCATTGCTCTGTTGACTTTCCCCACTTAATTCGTCTTCAGTGGAGAGGATATTCCCGTCAATTCGTTCATCTGATTGTCTTTCACGAACTGCTTGCACATTGAAGTATTCTCCACTCTCTCCATCGTTTTCATGTTCACTCGCGTCTTCGGCTTCGTCTTCGTCGCCCATCTCATCATCACTGTCGTCCCCATATCCGTCGCTTTCTTCCATCTCGTCGTCGTCATTCGAAATATTAATGATACTTCGTTCCGATTCATTGACAGATAACACATCCTCCTCGCTATCTTCGTCGCAGCACCTCTGCAAGCGGACCTTCTCCATATCGTGCCAAACTGCGGAATCAGAAGATTTTCTTCTTCTCTTGACCTCGAAAAAATCTTCAGGATTCTTAGAGTCTAAAGAAGGTATTCTGACACGCCGATCAATCTTGACTCTTTCGTCAAAGGTGACTCTTCGAGACCATTTCCTGGTGGGCGGGGAAAGGGATTTAACTTCTGCAACCGAAATCATTTCATCGCCAGAAAGATACGCATGCATTGATTGATCATCCTGATGGGCATCACGGTTTTCATGACTTTGGCTATCCTGGTCATCTTGTTGACTTTCGCCCGTTTTATATGCTTGAGACTCGAGTTCAATCATAACCGACGCATTGAGTGTAGCTGTTTTCTCTAAACCCATCTTGATTTTTTTCGCTGAAACTCTTCTTTCAGCTTGGCCATTTAGCTCATCGACTAGCCCGTGAACCTTTTCGCGAACCAACTCTAATTGTGCTACTTGGGTAGTCAGTCCCCATAGACTGATGCAAGCATGCTTTTTCTTGGGTAGCAGCATACATCTGCCAGTTGGATTTGCTTCGGCTCCCACGAAACCATCAGAATGAGACGAGCTCAACTTATGGAGATTGCTTGATTCTGCCCGAGGAGACGTGTTGTAACGATTTGGGAACCGAAAGGCTTTTTTATCAATCTTTCCAAAGGCGCCATGGTATGTCTGACACACTTTTTTCTCGCCCTTTGTCCGCCCAACACTCTGTATAATTCTTAGGGCATCCGAAGAGTCTTGGGAGATTGGGTCATCTAGGATTTCAGCTGAAGGTTCCACTATATTCTGATCAATATTGTACCACTAACTTAGTGAAACTTTGACCATACCATTTTCATCATCTTTCTCTTGACTAGGTTCCGCCACTCTTTCAGATACCAGGTGCAACTCATCCACTGGAAGTCTTCGAGGTCTCTTCTTCAGCTTTTTCTTCAGCTTTTTCTTTGGGCTTGGATGACCACGCTTTCGAGGTTTATGGTCAATGGAGGCAGCCTCCGAGTCGCTTGAGCCAGGCGTACAATCAGATGAATGAGTAGCATTAGGCAACCCAAGAATCTTGGTCTCAAGGTCATCGAGATTATTACTGTCAGTGACCTTTTTGTGTGAGTCCATAAATACTCTTCGAGCTAGCTGCGGAGGACTAAATGAAAAAGTGATGTTCCTGACCTCAGGATCGCTTGAAGGCTGTGAATTGAATGTGCGTGAAGTTGTTCGAATGAGTTCTTCAAGACTGGTAGATTCTTGACTGCCATCGGATGATTCATTGCTAAGGGGGTCAGGATTCTTGAACAGTCTATTCAATTCAGCCGGGCGGTCAGATCCACTGGAAGTCAAGGTTGCTTCTCCTTCGCCTTTCTTTCCATAAGACGATTTGCTCGATGTTTCTTCGGAAGGGAGTGAAGTAGCGAGTTTGGATGCGATACGTTGCTCCCTCCGGGACTTTTTGCGCTTCGCGATTGTTCTCAAAAACCTATTGGGCAATGTTTCACCTAGCTGCTTCGAACGCGAGACCTTCTCATGAGAGGAAGGATGCAGAGTGTCAATAGATTTTGAAGTCCCTTGATCAACATCGTCCCCTCCGATAGCTACAGACACTTCTTTACCTTCATCTCCTATAGCCTCGGCAGTTGCAAATTCCGGTGGTTGCACGATTGGGGTTAACTTTGATGTGGTCGCTGCTTCGTCATCGCTAGCGATGATTATTTCACTTTTGGAAATGCGAGAATTGGGAGTTTTAGGCGCACGAAGGTGTCTTCTCAAAGGATTGAATCTAGTCATTCGAGGGGTTCTCTGTAACACTTGTTCCAATTGAGCGGTGGTCATACCACCTGCAAGAGGTGAAATGATAGAATTTCGCGATGCGCTTGAAGGCGTTTCTGGTTGTGCCATGGCAAGACTGCGGTCATATGAAAGAATCTTTTGACGATCAATCATCACTGTAGACAAATGATGATAAGTATAATTAAGATCACATTTTTACATCTTGGATATAGTGAAGAAAGAGATAAAAGAAGGGGTTGATTAGGAAGAGTGTTGAAGATTTGAGAAATAAGAAATCAAGGATCGCGAAAAAATTGCACCCACCTAGCACCTAGGGAAGGCACGATGGTGGTACTTCCTAATTGGGACCTTTCTTTCCTTTTCACCAATTGAGAAGGAACGAACCAACACTTACACCCCAGCATTATATGAATTTCAAGAACTGATTGAAACCCATGGTCAAATTAAATTGATTTTGCCTATCAGAACACAATGATGGTATGAGGAAGAAACGACACCGCGTTTGCTCCCAGCAAGTCGTCGTGGCTTCTAGTGCTGGAATATCTACTTTGAAAAAAATCTTTTTACTCGGTAGTGATGCAGCAAAAGTTTCCACAGGTCTTCAAGGTCATCCGAAAATCCAGTGTCCCTGCCATGAACGCCCCTAGACTAATAAACAGGAGATGAAATAGAAAACATAACAATATACAACCCATGTCCAGCGTGATCACTTTAAAATGCGCCAAATACATATGGAATCATTGCACTGCGATTGATGTTAGTACTGCACCGCACCAATCATGAACTCAATGAAGTTGGGGAGGCTTACCCAATTGCCAAAGTTGCACTCAGACCAATCAAAGCCCGGGTCTTAACTCTCTCCTTCTTCAAGTCGGCCGCTACCTTAACCTTCTTAGCTGGACCCACCTCTAAAGCTTCTTCCTCTTCGTCATCTTCCTCATACTCTTCCGCCTTTCTCTTCGAGCGAGTTGGTATTCCGGCGTTTTCCTTGACAGTAGCCTCTACCATTTCTTTCGCCTTAGCGATCATAGCCTCCGTATCCTCTGAGAGAGGGAGGTCTGGTGTACCAGCTGGCATCTCAACCTGAACATGAGTGTGAGTGGTCTCAATGTCGCCATTAACTGATACATCAGTATCAACCTTGACTTTGACCTTTGGCTCCGAGACTTCTTCGCTTGATTCCTCAGTGATTGGTTCCTCAATTTGCGCCTTAGCTTCCTCAGCTTCCTTGATTTCTTCAGCCTGCTCCTCGACTTGCTCCTGAATTGGTTGGGAAGCTGTGGAGTCTGTAGAATCCCCTTTCCCCTCGGCCTCAACTACTCCGTTTTCCAGGACTTGTTCGAGTACATTGCTGGTAGCAGCTGCAACAGGCTCCAAACTTGCTAGTCTAGCACTTGGTTTGCGTGCCCTTGCGATCTTGCGTGGAGATGAAGTTGCATACTTGCTGGGTGATGCGGATCGACGAGGGCGGCCACTTTTAGTAGTTGGTGCAGCTAGGGCCTCAGGAGGAGAGATTTGAGGGGCCTCGTCTAACTGTAGCTTCGGTGCGGGAATTGGAGCTAGATCTTTGAAGTCAAACTTTGGAGGCGGCGCAATTGATTTAGGTGTTTGGTCTTTGGTAGGGTTAACTTCAATTGGCGCATTGTCAAGCAGAGCTTTGATCCAAGGCAAGATCTGGTATTCCTCTGCAAGCTCAAGCGCATGATGGGGTGGGATCCAGACATTCCCTGCGGTCTCATCTACAGAAGTGGTTGGCAGGCTCTTGATATATCGGCGTTCCATCTCCTCTTCTGCGGTCTCCGAGTAGGGGAAGGTAGCCTTGAACATCCCGGTCGCGCTGATGAAGCCATCGTTGCTACGGCGCATCAAGAAATACGAGGCGGGCGAAGGCTTGAAAATGCCGCTGTGGATGCCTTTGGGCAGCGGAGCACGTAAGTGTGCATAATCGAAAGTTCCCAAGTTCTTGGGCTGCGTGGAGTTTGATTTATTGAGTTGACCAGTCTTCACAGCAAGATCTGTCTGACCCAATCTTCTTCTGGCGACTAAAGTTTCATCTGCGGAAATTGTTAGCTCTGGTTCTCATCCACGTACGCGACTGGCGCATCGCCTTACAAGCTGGAATTTCCGAGGTCATCAAAGGATTGACCTTTGCGGGCAGGTGTCGCGAGGCAGGCATTGCGATAGTAACTGGCTCGATGATAACACGCTAGAAAGGATGCGGATAGGAAATTGTCGGATGGAATATTAAATTGAATAAATCCAAAGGTTTCGTTAAGAAGATTTCGGAGAAACTGTAATTCTGTTTCGTGATCACGCGATTAGCAAACATTTTGGATGATCTTTTGATTCAAATTAATACAACAAGGAGAGTACAAAGAGAGGAAACGTACATGAAAAACACTTTAACACGATCAACGTCTTCTTGATGTAGATGTTGCGCGTTGAGCGTTGAGGGAAGGAGTATCCGGTGTGAAGAAGAAGCTTTGATCTTGTTCGCGACGGGACACGGAAGGAGAGAAAGGTTATCGAAGAAAATTATTAATTGGAGTTGCCCGCCAAAAATCGCAGTACATATATACCTTGGTACGCGATGTGAAATGTGCGCCTTAAATCGGAGTAACCCCAGACTGATTTAAATTCAACAACGAGCAGGAAGCAATGCAAGATGATGAATTTGTGATTGTGAATGCAGACGTGAATGGATGAATTATGATCAAGGATTAATTGTAAGTGGAGGGAGACGGGTGGTATGAAAGTAAAAGATACAAAGTCAGTGTGGGAGATTCTGCGATCCCTGAGGGCATTAGGACGTTTTGACAAGAGGATTGGTGGTTTTCTGACCATGTAAAGTGGATTTGCTGGGGTTGAAGGGGGGGGGGGGGGGGGGGGGAGGAGGAATGATCAGTGATATATATGTACGAGTATGTATGTATGTATATATGTATGTATATATGTATGTGCGGTGTATGTACGTACGGTGTATGTACAGTATATGTACGTTACAACACTATTTCCAGAGTCGGAGCTTTCATCCTTTCTTCCATATGCGGCCTTCTGGATGACAGACATAAAGTAATATGGACACTCGTACTGTAACATTCTCTAAGCTATCCTAGGGATATACATGTGTACTATGTACATTTACAATTCACTACACCAAGATGCACGGTGAGTTGGACAGAATAATAATGATATATGGAATAATGCTACATAGGTATGAGGAATAAAATGCTTTCCATTTATTACCTACCGAGACACTGGTATTAGATACGTACTGAGAGCTACCGTTACCTAGGTCCGTTGCCTATGAGCCTATCCGATGATAACCAGATACAACCAGATATAACGTTCGTTTTATGGTTCTATTGACTGATTGCTATCATTATTATATCAAGGTAGAGCAACCTGGCTTAAATGTCAACCATGGAAAAGGAGACACTGGGGACGGGGGGAAAGCTTCTGGAACTAGTCCAGTATGTCTGGCTGATTGATTGATTGGACGGGGATGCCCCTTTTATGGTGAATATTAATATATCACATGACACTGGTTATATTTACCTGGTAACTTTCACTCATCAACAAATGCTCTCATCTCCCCTTCATTTCTCTCAAAAACTGTCTTCAATCCAATCTTCCATCAACACCTTCTTCTTCCCTTCACATAACAATCTCGAAAGAACACATCCTCATTGTCACGAGATTCTTACATACTACTGTACCTCCGTGGGTTAGCAAGGATCATAGCTCAAGCCCCACTAAGCTGCATCTCGATTGCCAACGCTGCTGTATCAAAAGTGCAGCATCCACAAACTCAACAGCTTTTAAAGTTCTGTGTTTGGACTTCTCCCTACAGATCTTCCTTCTCTTATCCATTCTCCCAAGTTACGTCTACTACCCTTATAAATCTACTACAACATATCGAAGATGGCGGACCAACAAGAAAATGAGCTCTTGCCCGAGACAACTGATGGATTCAAGGTGGGGGAGAAAAAGACTTTGGATGAGTATTCCAAGATGGGTACGTTTTGAAACCCCTTTCATCCTGTCTTCTTTGTTGCTCTTCAGATCCTGCGATGATCTTGAGCTTCTGTTCTACTTAGCAAATGCGTTTGGGAATATTCTTGGTCTAGTTGGAGTCAAGTCTACCCCTCCAGCTATACCCCGCAGTCGAAGCGGTCTGGAGGAGATTATGTGAGATGATAGAAGGAGATCTCATTCGAAATAACGTTTCTTTCGATATCTGGAGCCTACCTGATCACGGCAACTCAATCATATGCAATAGTTTGCACAAAAAATTGTTGCAAATGCCTTTTAGTTGCCACATCGACTATGGAAGTCCAAAGAACACTACCTTTTTACTCTTCATGGCTTTCCCAATTCGACCAGGACAATAGCTTGAAGCTTTCCACTTGATTACAGATCATCGAAGGATCTCAAGTTTGAAGAACGTCCATGTAGTCAGATGATGTTATTAACAAATCCCTTATCTACCTATAATCCACTGTGCAACCAGAGCCCCAATACTTTCTTAATGGCTCATCCTGCAATATATACCATAGCCATCTAGATTCACTGACTCTATATTTCAATCCAGATGCTGAAGATGAGTCTCTTCAACGCTACAAGGAATCCCTTGGACTTGGCGGTGGTGGACAGGACCTTAGTGACCCAGCAGATCCACGTGACTGCATTATTCTCACTCTTGAGATGAACTCCGAAGGCCGCCCCCCAGTCAAGCTCGAGCTTTCTACCCCTGATGCTCTCAAGACCTTGAAGGATCACCCCTTTAAGATCAAGGAAGGTTCCAAGTTCAATCTTACAGCTACTTTCAAAGTGCAACATAACGTTTTGAGTGGTCTCCAATATGTCCAAGTCATCAAGCGCAAGGGTATCAGAATCGATAAATTGCAAGAGATGATTGTAAGTGCTTCCGCGCATGTCAATGTATACACTATGTTTCATGAACTGACTCTTCAATAGGGGAGTTACGCACCCAACACTGACAAGAACCCCGTTCACACCAAGCGATGTATGTTCACAATGAAACTTATTTCAAGTTCTCCAAGCTAATCAAAGACTCTAGTCGCCGACGAGGATGCCCCAAGTGGAATGATGGCCCGAGGTCACTACACCGCCATCTCTACTTTCGTCGATGACGACAAGAAGAAGCATCTTGAATTCGAGTGGTCTTTCGATATCGCCAAGGACTGGTAGATATTTCCACCTGCTTCACCTTTGATCTTCTGCTTTTCGCCTGACATATCGCATTCGCCTCTTTTGACACCCATTCCAATCCTCACATAGCATAGCACTCACATGACAAGTTTCGACATACCTTTGCGCGCATGCGATTTGAACGGCTTTCTTTTGGACGATTTCGCTCTTGTGTTGTGGCTAGGAAAATAGTCGGTCGTTTTCTTCCCTACTTGTTTTTCCTTGCAAATTTATTATATTTTGGACAGAAAAAAGTTATCTGTGGATAATGAGATAAGTTATGGACGGACGATCAGATGAGTTATGAAATGAAGATGTTTGGTCATATCTTGCACATGATCTGGATTGAACGAACGAACGAGATGTGGAGTTGAGAAAGTACCTGAGCATACTGTGGTTGTTTGGAGGCATTCTTTCCCTGCAGGCGCGCACAAAATATTTTAAATTCAAAAGACTCACTCACTTTTCCTCAAGTATAGAACTTCGTATCTCATTGTATTTCGTATCTAATGTGTTTAAATGGATGGAGAGAATCATGTTGCATGACTGGTCCTGCCCTTGCATCCGTTCATGGGTATCTTCTCGTATTTCTATGGAATTTTGATTTACAAAAACGCAATTCGTAGGTGTGAAATGACATACATCATCATAACTACAATCCATTTTTTGGAGTGCAGTGTCTTGTGTACAATGAAAAGGACATTGCTTAATCTGGCGCACAGCGGGTTCTCGAATCCTCTGTCTCAGCTGTCCGGGATATATTTTTCAATAATTGTCTCCATGATGTCGAATGGTGGGAGTGATGGTTGGTTGAGGAGTAGCGTGTCGAAAGAAACTAGGATCTAGTGTCTACGTGCCGGCTTGCATTTCGAATCACAAAAAGTAATCAGGAAGCGTGTTGCCGTCAGCCGTCTTGTCCTGCCCTGCTTGCTGCATTTCCCCTTTGTGTACATCATTTTCCGGCGCGGCAGCAAATACATTGAAGAACCTCTCCCCAGTGTCGCTGACTTCTAGAACACTTGCCATATTGCCGCATCGGTAGCAGTAATTGGGCGCACTCCACACGGTACTTAATCGATCGTCGTAGAGAACCTGGTAGCCTTCCTGGCAAAGTTGATGGGCTCGCAATATGTGCGACATCTTATTTACTTCGAGGAATTTCTTCACAACTTGCGCGCCGAACGTGTAGCCCGCACCGCGAGGTGAGAGGGAGAATTCGTCGCGCTCAGGATCGGGGTCGGACCAGACCAAGTCGGCCATAGGTCCTTCGTGGGGGATTTCGCGGAAACGGTCTATGATTTTAATTTGGTCGATAGAGTGTATAGAAGGAGAGAGACCTGCAGATAGATTTCAATATATGAAGACTTGCAGGACAAGGAAAGCCAAGTAGCATTTTGGTGGGGAGCATACCTCCATGAACACAAAATATTTGATCATTGATGACCACACTCAGTGTGAGGAAGTCGAACATGTCCGTAAAATGATGCCAAACATTTGCATTCCCATACTTCCTGGAGCACTCCGTATAGAAGCCATACGACTGAGTGACACCCCTCGACTCATGATTTCCTCGTATTAAATGAACGCGATGCGGGTATCGTAGTTTAAGACAAACAAGAAGAGAAATCGTTTCGACGCTGAACATGCCTCTATCCACATAATCCCCTAAAGAAAGATCATATATTAGCATTGTGGAAATGTGTGCGGCGTCGGAGTGCGGGGCATACCTAGAAACAAGTAATTTGTATCTGGACAGAACCCCCCAATCCTGAATATCTCTATCAAATCGAAGAATTGGCCGTGGATGTCTCCCACTACAGTAACAGGTGCTAACACATGAACCACATTACTCTCTTGCATAAGCAGTTCCTTTGTTTTCGCGCAGATTGCTTCAATAACAGATTCGGCGAGGAGATTTTTCTTATAGAGACTTTCTATACATTGGTCGAGATCGACGGAAGCTATGGATACATGTCAGCATGGCCTCTTGTCAGTTCAGAAGGTTCGTGGTGTCCTTACATGGCAGACCGGGCATATTGCAAAAAGGGTTGGGAGTTGATCACCTCCGATGTGCGCCACCGAGATCTAATATTGAAGAATGACAGTTGATACCACCTGTGATTTTCTGGAGAATAGTATTTTGGCAAGGCAACATGGTCGCTTAAGAAAGTATTCAAGTCATAAGCAAAAGATGAAAACGTTGGTAGGTAGGTAGGTAGGTAGGTAATGAAAGAATAAAAAAGATTGCTAGGTAAGATTACTTATCAACAAATATGTGACGCGGGCGGGCAACATATATGGAGTTGATTATCAAGATCACGTTGGTTGTGAATATTAGCTACCTAGGCCCGGGGGTAGGCCGGTAGGCCTGGTAGCCAGAGAGTGCCAGTTGAGTGCCTGAGGGTGCCTGAGGGTGCCATGAGATGATGGCCTTGGTGCCTCATCTCGCTCATCTCAACTCATGAATATATGGAACTTGCAGTCTCAAAGGTTCACCGTAGCTAGTGGAATGAATGAATCGTTTAAATTAGCGTCATCTTTCCATTAGATACCCTTGTCAATACCCGTCAATACCTACACAGCACCTAGCTCGCACAGGAAATTTACTACGGAGGAGGGTAATATCTCTTCTGCTCTCTCTACGCGCATTTTCATCCCAAGTGCAATCAAATATTAGCATCCATTCCCAACCTTCTTCCCTTCTCTTTCCTGATTCCCATTGCCATCACAGTTCCCCTCACAATTCACCATATTCACTTCCAAACATTGTAATTCTTGCATCTTCTCCAACATCTGTCAATCAATCAATCAACAATACCTTTCCCATTTCGACCCTAACCCTTCTTGTACAGATTCTTCTCTCTGTCCTGTCCCTCTCCCTCTGCCTCTACTTGCAGAAAGAGAGACTAACAAGAAAAAGAGCACCCCAATTCATATTCACAATTGCTGATATTGTAACTGGAAGCAATAACTATTGACAAAGTATCTACCTACTCTCTCTGTACTTCTGGGAAGTAAACATTCTTCTTCGCTTCTCTTCAGCTTCAGACACAATCATTTGGTCAGGTCGAGTCAAGTCATGATCAAAATATAGGAAAGGAAAGGAAAGGAAAGGGAAAAAAAGAAGTCATCATATTTGTTTTTTTGCTACACTTCTTCTCTATCCATTCCATTTTCAATCGCTTTTGCATGTGGATTTGTTGGCCTAGGAATAGTGACCCTAGCAAGGTACTTAAATAGTACTTCCTTTTGATTGATTTACTGGGGAGTCCGGGGGCTACATACATACATACAACAGTTCATCCTTGAATACGGTCCATGTTTTTCACAGTACCGTTGCACCACATCATTCTGAACATCTATTTCAATTTCACGGACAACAAGAAAACCTTTTTTCTATCCATCAAAGTTATCGATGCTTTCCATTATTGCAACCACAAGGACCAAGATAACAAGAAATCGTTAATACGCATATCTAACTTCTTAACATTGCTCCTTGTCTTTTCTGTCGCGTCAGAATATTTTGTCTATCACAAGGTTACCGGTATTTTATCAATTTGGTTTCTCGACTCGAGCTCAATCCAGTGTCAGGCAAATTCATCCCCCGACGGATTGATGATTTGCTAACCAAATAGGATTCTTTTTGTATAAAGGAGAGTCTGTTATGTTGGGAAATTGGTCTCAAGGTGGTCCTCAAGGGCCACCAAATAACTACAACAATGGTTACTTTGGCCCACCTCAAAACTACAACAATTCTTACAGTGCTTCTGTACCTAACAAGACACCTCGTCTTCCAATATGCTTCACGTGTGGTCAAGAAGGACATTACGTCAAGGATTGTCCAAATCAAAATCAAAGTGGTCAAGTGTGAGTGATGAGTTGTTTCCATATCTTAAGACTTTCTTCTCGTATCTTTTGTTTTTGCCAAGAGTTTGGGCTAATAATGACAAGTGCTATGGTTGCTCCTCAGACAACAAATGTCAATGGATATGGTGTACCACCCCAAACAAAGCAGTGGGCAAACACTCAAAGTGGTCAGATGGGTCCTAAATATGCTCCCTATACTGGCCCTGGAAGTGCTCCAATGTCGCAATTTATGGACCCTGGTCAAAATTCTCAGTTCAATGGGCCAATGCCATCTGCTCCGAGTCCGCTCTATCAGCAACATTCCACACCAACTCCACAACAGCTGTATCCTAATCAACAACCTGTTGCCAATGGGGCTAGCTACAATCATCCACCTCAACAGCAACATGGATCTCAAGGCTATCAAGTTCCATATAATCAGCATCCCCAATCTAATTCACCACAACAGTATGGGCCACCAACTCACAGCCAAAATGGTCCACAGTATCCTCCCCCATCCGCCCCAGCCACCCCCTTCCAACCTCAAAATAATGGTTATAATCAAGGTTACGATAGCCGAAGTTCGTCGGTACCTCATCAAAGCAACGGCACGCCAAATCATGGGCAATGGATTGGTTCACCGCCAGCGGCGTCGCCTCCCAATGGGCCACAGCAGCACCAAGGACAATTGCAATCAAATCCTGGCTATAATCGTGAGTTCAGGAGGTCCCAATCACAACAATCTCAGCAAAGTGAAGGTCGAATGTGGGCCCAGCAGCCTCAGCAAAGTACAAGTCGGGCGGCATCCCAGATTCCACCGATGGCGTCCCCAGAGTTGAATAAACGCGGGCTGTACATTCCTCGATCCAAACATACTACACTCACCGCACCTTCCAAAGCTTCTTCTCAACCCGCCGAGGTACCAATACCTTCGAGAGCTTCAAGTGTGGCGAGTACACCCTATGGCTCGCCTAGCTCAAGAGATAACATATCTGAATGGGATGGTCAGCCAACTGTTTTAAAGGAGGACAGTCACCGGACTGACGAGGAAAAGCAGTTCAATTGGGACTACAAAAAGATCTTCCAAGCTGCAGGCCAAAGACATGAAACTGTTGCACTTGCCCAGCCTCTGGCTAACAGATTTGATATGACCC